GGAAATCTTGTAATCTCACTTGCATTATCCATGTCTATGTTTATTTCCAAATAATGGTTAATGTCATGGGAATGAATTACTTCAACAGTTGTTGTCATCAGGGGGGTATTTACAAGATATTGATTGTCATTCACGAGACTATATAAGTCTCAAACAATACCTAGAAGGTGTTATTCTAATGGTGACTTTATAACTTCTGTTGAAGGCTCTATCGTGACACCATTTATGAAAGTGGGCTTATTGTTATGTACACATCATATTTTTACCTCACGAGTTCCAGAAGTAAGATGAGGTTAAGATTATGAAATGATCCTTGTAATGTATGCGGTATACTTGTTAAGTCTCTATGTGCATATGCTTCTTGTAGAAAAGCGTTCTTGGCATAGCAGGACAGTTCTGCAAGGTTCAGGGGGAGAACTTCCCTAGAATATTAAACCTTGATCAGAATTCTTGAGAATTCAAAATGATATGGTCCAGAAGGTCACAAGTTGTCTCGAAGACATGTTGTACTCTTTTTTTCCTTGATGAGTTTTCTGAAGTTTCTCATGTAAGGTTTTTAATGAGGCAACAAAGTGCAAATACATTAAGCGACAATAATGTACTTTTTCTCTATATTTTTTCCATTGGTTTTTTTTGGAGTTTTAACGAGGTATGTATTTGTCACGGTATTCGTCCAAAAGGGAGTGTTAAGAATTCCTCAATTAGAGAATTAATGGGTTCATACCATATATGCCCTATAGGCCCATGTTTGCCCCGAAGGCTATATCTATATAAATGGACTAGACGTATACGGAAATAGATGAATGAAGAGATGACTCCCTCCCACGTATATTTATCTCCTGTGTTCTTATGGGTTATTCTTGGAAATTATGAAGGGAAACAGGATCTACATCTACAACTTCTATACGCCTCTTTCTTGAGATTGAAGACGGGAAACGGATCTAGCAATCTGAGAACAGGTCGATTCACACTAGGCTCTAGCTCGGTGTGTGGTAGCAAGGCAGGGGTGGGGGCGGAGTGGGTGCCTGGTGCGGGAGCGGCGGTTCCTGGTGCAAGAGCACGGTTGGTGTGCGGATGAAGAGGAAGGACTGAATGAGAAAATTAGCTATTTAAGTAGTATTTACCATTCTAAAAAGTGAGTTTTGCAACTTTATCATTCCAACGACATCGCAAAATTACCATAGAGAAGATGTGTACACTGATTCGTTTTTTTGCGACACAAAAGGCGTTTCACGTGGCACAGATTAGGAGAAACACATAAAAAAGAGCCAAATAGAGATTATGGCAAAAGAATCAAGGTTCGCATGTTCTGCATGATAATAATTTTGCGAACTTTTGTTTTAGAATGATAAAGTTGTGAAACCTGCTCTTTGAAATGGCAACTAGCTAATTTTCTCGAAACAGAATTAACGTTAGACCTGGCAATATGTGCTGGAGCAAACTTTTCCCAGCTCAGAGTAGAGAAGAAAACATGACTGCTCCGAAGATCCAAGCTGCTGATTATTGGACGCAACCTGGTCTCCGGGCATCGGCAGGCCAGGCCCCACAAATACTAGTACTAGTAGAAGCCCCCTGCTCGCATCGCATAGTCCCGACTCCCAAGCGGCAAGCGGCATGGACCACGGGTCACTTGCGCCGGCGTGCCGCTGCGTACGAACAAAACGCGGGCTTGTCGCGGCAGATCCGAAGTTCAGTGGCCTGTTGAGCAGAGCAGTGGGACGCACGGGCGTAGCCGTATAGGCTGTAGGCTGTAGGCGCCGCGGGCTGCGGGCAGAAACGGGAAAAAGCTCGGCGCACTTTGGGAGGACGGTGATAGAGATACTCCTACTAGACATCGATGCATCACTGCTGACAGGGGAACCGGATCCTCCTGCGCGGAGGGGGTGGAGGGTGCACTTGCTGTGGCCCTGCCGAGAGAGATGCTCTCCTGGACTGACCGATCATCTGATGCCGATGCTGGATGCTCCACGAGCCACGACGACGGGTCATGGTGCCGGGTGCGGGCTTATCTGAATCTGAACAACGGCGATAGAGATAGACTGATAGTCTGATACGGACGAGTAGAATAGTGCAGAAGGTCCTGACGTCCTGTAATGATATACTAGGAGCTAACGAAGGAAAATAAAAAACTAACACAAGTCAGATCGAATCTCCTGCGCAATTGAAAACAGAAGTCAGAAGGTATAAAGAGGGTTGCGACTTGCGAGTGTCTCTTTTTTTTAAAGAAAAAATGGGATATCAAGCGTAGCAACAATCTATAATATTTCTTTTCAAAATCAAAAGAAAAAATAGCTATATACCATTAAATATATGCAAAAGCTAGCATTTGATAGTTAAATATTACTGTGAACTTGGCCTGATGGGAAAGTATAAGCGTTTGACTTTATATTAGTAATACCTCCACTCTAAATATATATCATGTCTAGATATACCTCCTCCATTCCTTAGAGAATGAAAATATCTCAAATGAGTTAAACAAGCATAAATTTGGCTAAGTTTATAAAAAAAAATATCAACACTTATATCTTTAAATAGGTTTATTATATAAAAATGTATTGCATATTAATTTAGTAATATTTATTATACATCATAAATAATACTCTCTCTATTTCAAATTATATGTCGTTATTAGTTTTTTTAGATCATTGCTTTTATTATGCATTATAGTGCATATCAAATACATAGTAAATGTTATGTATCTAGAAAAGACAAAATGGCTATAGTTTTGAACAGAGAAAAGTACTTTTTTTATATATTTAGTTAAATCTAGGATTGTTTGATTTCTTGAGAGGCTTCATTTTTTCAAGGCGGAGAGAAATTATATATCGAAAAAAGAAAAACTAGAACGCTTGTTTGGACCTGCTAAATACGCATGTCAAAACGACAATGATCCAATTCGGGCGTCCGTCCGTGACTCCTTTCTGGATGCGACTCCTTGGAGTGGGCCCTAAATAAAAAACAAAATACCCCACTCCCTCGTGCTTATCCGTCCGCTCCACACCCTCACTCCTTCGTGCTTATCCATCCGGCCCCGAAGTAGCGTGGCTGCTAGTTGTCCGCGCCCCTTTCCTCACCGCGCGCTTCTCGGCTGCCGCGTCGTGCCCCACTGCCCCGCGCCCCATTGCTGGCTGCGCCACGCGCCCGTCCCAGACACTTGTGTCGCTCGCTCCCTCGCCATTCATCCATCTCCCATCGCCATCGCGCACGTCGCTAACTCCGCCATGGCCGCTAGGGCGCATGTGCCGTGGCGCCTCAGGTCTTTCTCGGCCGAGCCAAGGGCACCCACGAGCATGGGATTGCTGGTGGTGCTCGTGGGCCGCCGCTCACCGCCGGCTCTGACCCTGACGGCTGGAATGGACCGGCCCAGGCTTTCCCTCCCCTATGTTGCAAATATATGTTTCAGGTGTTTCGGTCATTTCAAAGGTATGTTGCAGTTGTGTTCTTGTGGATGTTGCAAAAGTAGATTGGAGATGTTGCATATGTTGCAAGTGTTTTAGAAGCATGTTCCAAGCATTTGTTCAAAATGTTTCGTCTCCTTCCAGACTTGCATTGCAGTCGTTTTTTATCCGGATGTTGCATATGTTTCACACATATGTTGCAACAGTATGTTTCAAATGTTTCAGTTGTTTAAGTCTTATGTTGTTGTGAGTGTTTTTTCATGTCGCAAGTGTTTTATCTGAATGTTGTAATATGTTTCACACAGTATGCCCCAAATGTTTCATCTGTTTTAAATGTGTGTTGCATTCGAGTGTTCATGTTACAGAGTGCAGATCGTTGGTGTTGGTGTCCATGAGGGCGGGCAGGACCAAGCCGTGGCCACCGACGCGTGGAGGAGGCATAGGTCGCCACCCGCGGTGTGGGGAGGAGGCACAGGGCGCATGGTGCTGTTATGAAAAAGGCAAGGATGAGTCTTCTGGACGGCCTAGAAGAGACGGTGACGCCACACCGGTGTGGAAGAGGCGGGGGCGAGTCATCCGAACAACATAGGCAACCGATCTAAAACGAACGATTTGGATGTGAGCACGGGAAATGGAGCTGGCACGGGCTGCGCATGAATCCGAACGAACAGGGCGGAGCAGCTGCGTCCGGACGGACGCACTAGTGCTGCCGATGTTAAAATCAGTACCTTTCGATTCTATTTTATTTGCAGTGTAAATTTCGTTTGGTAATTCGCTAGCTTTGACTCTTGAGAGCCAGTCAGCCAGGGTAGGGCAACATGTTCAGCAGCTCTCCGACACCACATGGGTCCAACACGACCGAACGGAGCAGACGATCCACCGAAATACCCAGCGGAGGCCACGTGTATGCTTTTTGCCCGTTCCTGCTTGCCCCGTTTCTCCCTTCCATCCTGCTTCCTCCTCTCTTTTTTTCACTTCCGATTTCCAAATCTCAAATAATAAATAACCAGAAGAGAAGCCAATCTTCTCCTCCATCAACCCAGCAAATCGCTCGTCCGAGCGTCCATTCGGCGAGAAATTATCGTTCCATCGCCCCCGCCTGGCTCTTCCGTTCGCCGCCAGGTACGAACGCACTGACACCCCTCCGGTTGGCGATTGCTGCTCTGATTAGGGTTCTTACTCCGTGCGCTCGCGGATTAACGGGGATAGGGGGATGGATTTTCTCGCTTGATCGTCCCTCTCGTTGCCGTTTTGGGGATGTTGTCTGATACTCTGATACGGATTAGTTTTGGCGCCTCAATCGCGACGGTGGGGTCAACGTGGGAGGTACGGATTCCTGTTTGGGGTACAGAATTAGCAAATGGAGTAGCGGGGGCCGGGGAGGATAGAATTGTGTGTTTTGACATTTCCGTCAGTTTTTTTTCGCGTACTGACTATACATTTTTTGGGGGTGTTGATTGATACTGCAGGGCCCAATTTCGTGTGGACAGGTTGCTGTGATCCTGTGGTGGATGGGGCAGCGCAGCTAGCCACTGGAGGTTGTTGCCTAGATTTGAATTTAATCGGGCTACCAAAGTGGCAGTTCTTATGGATCAACTTGCCATGCATGCGACGGAGCTGGGTGACTCGTCGGACTTTGAGGTGGAGGGCATCCAGAACCTCACTGAGAATGATGTCAGTGATGAGGAGATTGAGCCCGAGGACCTGGCGCGGCGAATGTGGAAGGACAGAGTCAGGCTGAGGAGGATCAAGGAGCGGCAGCAGAAGCTTGCCCTGCAGCAGGCAGAGCTGGAGAAGTTGAGGCCCAAGCCGATATCCGACCAGGCCATGCGCAAGAAGATGTCAAGGGCGCATGACGGGATCCTCAAGTACATGCTCAAGCTGATGCAGGTGTGCAATGCGCGTGGGTTCGTGTACGGGATCATCCCGGACAAGGGGAAGCCTGTCAGTGGCACTTCCGATAATATCAGAGCTTGGTGGAAGGAGAAGGTGAAGTTTGATAAGAATGGGCCTGCGGCGATTGAGAAATACGAGTCTGAGAACTTAGTAACTGCTAATGCCCAGAGTGGTGGAAGTAAGAACCAGCACAGCTTGATGGATCTCCAAGATGCCACTCTTGGTTCACTGCTTTCCTCATTGATGCAGCATTGTGATCCACCGCAGCGCAAGTACCCATTGGAGAAGGGTGCTCCGCCTCCGTGGTGGCCTTCAGGGAAGGAGGAATGGTGGATTGCTCTAGGCCTTCCAAGCGGCCAAATTCCTCCATACAAGAAACCACATGATCTTAAGAAGGTTTGGAAGGCTGGTGTGCTTACTGGTGTGATCAAGCACATGTCTCCCAACTTTGATAAGATAAGAAATCATGTACGGAAATCAAAATGTTTGCAGGATAAAATGACTGCAAAAGAAAGCCTGATCTGGCTGGGAGTTCTACAGAGAGAAGAAAGCCTTGTTCACAGAACCGACAATGGTGTATCAGAGATTACTCAGCACAGTATGCCAGCGGACAGAAATGGGGACACAAATAGCAGCAGTAATGAGTATGATGTCTATGGTTTTGAGGATGCTCCTGTTTCTACATCATCTAAAGATGATGAACAAGATGTGTCTCCAGTTGCACAATCTGCTGTGGAGCATGTCCCAAAAAGAGGAAGGGAAAGGGCTTACAATAAACACCCTAATCAGATCGTTCCTGGTAAGGCAAAAGAATCACCAAAGAGAAAAAAAGCACGCCACAGCTCCACTGTTACCAAGCCAGATGCACATAGAGTTGTTGATGCCCCAGAAAACTCTAGAAATTTGATTCCTGATATGAATAGACTGGATCAAGTAGAAATCCAAGGCATGTCTAACCAGATTGTCATCTTGGACCATGGGGGCACCACAACTGAAGCTTTACAACACAGAGGAGATGCTCAAGTACAAGTCCATCTTCCTGGTGCTGAGGTTAATAACTTCAATAGTGCCCCAACTGCAAACCCTACTCCTATAAGCATATATATGGGTGACCAGCCTTTACCTTATCAAAATAATGACAGCACAAGGTCGAGATCTGAAAATAGTTTTCCAGTAGATGCTCATCCTGGTTTAAATAATCTGTCCAGCGGTTATCAGAACTTACCTCCGAAACAATCACTATCACTTTCCATGATGGATCATCATGTGGTTCCCATGGGTATCAGGGCACCTACTGATAGCATTCCTTATGGTGATCATATACTAGGTGGTGGAAATTCAACTTCTGTTCCTGGAGATATGCAGCAGCTCATAGATTTTCCTTTCTATGGTGAACAAGATAAGTTTGTTGGCAGTTCCTTTGAGGGATTGCCTTTAGACTATATCAGTATCAGTAGTCCAATCCCAGATATTGATGACTTGCTGCATGATGATGATTTAATGGAATACTTGGGGACATAACATTAGGTAATTCCATTACATATCCTTTTATTTGCTGCTTCTTTCTCTATGGTAATTTAGTTCTTTTTTCATTTCGTTTTCAGGTCAGGATGAGGTTGCTAGCATTTGTTTTTCATCCATTTAGTCTCGCCGGATTCATCATCCTAACTTGAGTATGGAAGGCTAAACTTCTCATTTTGTTGCCGGTCTTGTTATTTGAGACCAACCATCTGTTGTATGCTGAGTGATGACTTGCATACTTTGGCAATAATGTATCATACAGTGACACAATTGTACATGTGGAAGGTGAACATGGCCTCACTTAAATATGATATCTTTCTGGAGATAATATCTGTTGAAGAAAGGACTAGATTTTTATAATTTTAGAATCCTTGAGATGAGATATGGTTGTTTTCTTCTTTATCATCCTATCTTTCTCTATGGCTTTTGCCATCTACAAAAACATCGGGAACCCAACACTGTATATGAAATAAAGAAATGAAAATTTTGCTTTTACCATCCTCTCTGTTGTGTTTGTGTTTGATTTCAGTGTCCCCTCAGAAATGTTGTTGTTGCATAACAAAGTCCACTGCTAGCTTCGTCTGCTGATTGTAGTTGCGCAGCAAAATTGTTGTTATTACACTTTAAAAAATATATAAAATTGAGATAACCATCTTTGCGCATTAAGGTTCAGATTTGTCCCAAAGTAGTAGCGATAAGTTATTATAACTAAACTGCAAGTGACATTAGGCTACTAACCTATACTGTTCTCTTGTATTATTTAGCACTGTCAAATCTTCATCATGGCTGAGATAACCCTGAACATATGTACGATAGGCTGTTTTGCTGACCATTTGGTGTGACTGTTGGTACAAATTCAGTGCCTGCGAAAAGTTGCTTGCCATGCTGGTGGTTCTTCAAAGTTGTATTCATGCAATAGCACATCCATATTTAAATAAGAATTTAGATATTGTGTTTCTTCTATTAGGGATCTATCCATTGTACTAGAAGTCTTCGAAACAGTGTTTGTAGATTTATGATTTTCAGTACAAAAGTTAGTCCTCTTACTCTCTTAGGCTTATGTTCTTCCTCTAGGCGCTTCTTTCATCCTGTAAAATTTATTTTGTGACAAACGTGTAGTTCACCTTTTTTTTGGTCTCTCTATCTGGCGAATCTTTTGGGGAAATTTTGCATTGGACACTCAAAATGTGTGGTTTTAGGCCTCTTACTCCCGTAAGCTTATGCTCTGTCTCTAGGCGCCTTCTTTCTCTTATAATCTTTTGTGACAAACTTCATATTCACACTTTTTTTTCTATTTGTCTAATCTTTTTGGAAGATTTTGCTACTATGCACTCAAAATATGTTGTCTGCTGAATTCGCCAATCTAGGATCCAATCACAAGGAAAGGATAATGTGTTCTGTGATTGGTGGCTGAGAACCAGTTTGATCATAGGAAACTGGAAATGGGGTCTCAACTCACTGACGACTTTAGGAGCCTGGATGTTATGGAAGCATCAGAATGACTGTGTTTTTAAGGGTGCTGCACTGAGTGTCCAGCTTGTCCTTAGATGAATTTGGGAGGAAGAATACCGCTAGTGCATGGCTGGAGCTAGGTGCTTGGAGCAGCTTATGGCTGCTAACATGTATATAATATATATAATAGGCTCATCTGCTCATGTGTTCCTGAACAAGTAGTGTGTTGGGCTTTTTTGTAAATATGTTTTCTCTTCTTAATGCAAAGATATGCAGCTCTCATGTGTATTCGACAAAATTTAAAAAGGACCCATACCAACCGTTTCTCGTTCAAAGGATGTGCATGCAGACTCTCTCACACTCAGAAGCCCTAAGAATGTTAAATGTCACATTCTTTTTTCTCTCTCAATGTGATACAGTTCCACACCAGAATTTGAAGTTCTTTTTTTTATCCTAAAATCTCCAGCTAAGCTCTTGGATCAGAGAGCTAATTAGCTGGTTTATTAGATTTAAGACAAGAGATCATCCATCTTGAGCAGGTAGCCCTAAACTGAGGCTCCTGTTACTCCCCCCATTATGGTCTCCAAAATTAGAATTTGACCCATGATTTCTCTTATGCTTGTAGCAACAAAATTATAACAATAAGGTCATACTTTCATTACAAATCCAATGATGTCTCTTTTGTATAACAAAAATCACATCATGTAAGACTAATTGATTGTTGGAAATTATGAGGTTTGAATCTTTAAATACATTTGTGCCATATAAAAGAAATGGAGGGGGTACTAGGGTACATCGTTATCAGCTTTGCTTATGTATGTTTTTGTTGACTAGCCAGTTAATTTATCTCATGTCAAAATGTAAATGGTGAATAACCTTCTATTTGCATGACATTCAGGATGTGAATTCTCTTGTGATGTTGATTAGCATGACATCATACCTGTTGTGGATTCCTTTGTGGGTGGGACCTACAGACGCAAAGAGACAACAGGAGTCCTCCACATAATCTAGGGAGAGGTTAGGAAAGATGAGATCTGTTTTGATGAGTTGAGATATTTGTGGAAGGCCTGGATTATAAAGGCTAATAGTTTGTATTAGGAGAACCATCGAAGAAGAATAAGAGTATAAGACTCTCCCATCAGGACCTGGCCATCTACTGCTGTGATCTCCCTTGTGCACACCTCGCCGACCTGGCCATATCATCCCACTAATTTGTATGGGCGGTGTATTCGATTATTCATGACTTATCTCAATTTTACATAAATATAGTCTCCAAGAAATGAAAAAGGAAAGATAAAAGTTCCAGTGGCTTTTTACTTACTGAAAACCATGCATCCTGGCTTCCCTGAGTGATGTAACATGTAAGTATAACTGTATAAGCGTTCTTCAGTGCTTTGGTGTCTCCTCTGAAGCTTATCTGTAAGTTTCCTGGCCACTGGTCTCGCTGACAGAGATGATGCTTATCTTAAAGTAGAGTTACATTCACTTAGTTTTGCTATTTTGTTTGTTTATCCTCCGTAACTTTTTGTCATGTCCTCTCCTGCAGATCAATGTACATTTCACAAACATGTGCTAACATGTTATTGTGTCTATGGAAGCTCCAGGTGTAATGTCAAATTCATGACTATTGAAAAACCTGGTAACTAAACTGATCAACAGTTTCTGAACTAAGATGTATGTTGTTTTTGTCTGATAATAGTTTATACATTGCAGAAACAGTAGACAACACACTCATGGAAACACATCATCAATAACTAAACTGATCAACAGGTGCTAGCATTATTGCATTAGTTATGGATAACACACTTGTGGAAACACATCATCAATAACTTCTTAAATTGTAGGGCTAAAATGGGCACAATAGACAATCCTGGATGTGGTTATTCTAGCATTTTTCCGCTATGGTCGTGTGGTCCCAATTAAATGGATACATATCAAACTTGAAGCAGTATATTTTACCTTTTCAAATTTTCTTATACATTGTAGATGAGACATTTTAAAATTAACCATGTTGCTTCCATCAAGTCTTTGGCTTTTTGGGTGCAGATACCTAATCCAACTGTAACCAATGGATTGGATCAAGTAGATGTTTCTTCAGTTTTGATATACATGTCCAAACATAAGCAGATAGCATTTAACAACTTTGATTGCGACAGTAGGACAAAGTAAAGGTGGGAGTAGGTGTTTGAAGTCGAAATGATCGGATTAATATTTTGTAAAGAAATGCCAGGACAAATGGTGACCTGCAACTGTGATCTATTTGCAAGTAAACAAGAAATATATTGCTTGGTTTACTACTAAACCTTTACCATCATCACCAGTTGAGTGTAAACTCTTAAACTCTCTTCTGATAACCGGCCATTTTTATTTTTCTAAATACCTTGATTGTTGTGGTCTCTACATCCAGTGACTAAGCTGACATGGCTTTGTTGTTGTTCAATAATAAAAATAGAGATCAAGCGATGCCATGACTGTGATTGTTACTCTTTTTAGACGATTCTGCTTGCTTTCATGAAAGGTCAAAGGAAAATTACCCTTGGCCATGTTGGAGCAGTCACTGTGATGACTGATGAGATATTTTTCTGTACTTTTGGGAGGCGAACAATATATCTTTTCCACAGTCTATCAATTTGTAAGTAAAGTGTTAGATTTGGCAGCTTCGAGTCTTAGCTCATGCATTTGGTGTATACTTGTACCATTGAGCCTGGTTTGTCTCCCTTTGTGTTACTGCTGTTGGTAATTTGTGATATGGAAACTGTAATCAGTCTGATTTGGGTGTTTTTAGCTTTTGTTCCTTTTGCTATGTTCTTTTGTGTGAAAGATACAAGATTCATATCTCTTGGCATGGGGGTTGTTGGACTGCGGGCTGCCTCCTTGTGCACAAAATTGGCAGGAGCCAATATTTGTGGGGTCCTCTAATCATAATCCCTTTGCAGCAAGTCTGTCACATGCGTGGCAGGCCTGGAGCATCTCAAGAGATCATCAGGGATTCAGAATTCAGAAAGACTGGACCAGAAAAAGAGCTCTGGGCAGCAGAATATCTACCTGTCAAACGGGATGTCAGGCACCCGTTTTACTTTTACTGGGAAATATTGTACTGCACTGGCTTGCGTCGACAGCCGTCGTTACGTGCATGCTATGTTTTGTTTCTTGCAGAAAACAAGTTGACCCAAGGATGCATGAAAACCCAGAGCACTGGAAGTCTGGAACCTTTTTCACCTCCAGTGACAACATTTCTTGGTAACTGCAGAAACTCTTGTATATATATATTTCTTTGTAGATGAATGATGCTAGTGTACCTTTTGGGACTTATTCAACTAACTATTTTTTAATCCTTTACATAGCAAAAGAAGGAACCTCGGCTTGAATACTGGTCAGATTAAGGCTTCAATGCTTCTCTGTAACTGCTCCGTGTTTCACTGAACCAGTTTTTTTTTAATAACTGTATACTGAACTGTTACAAGTTCTGCAATAGCAACGAGCATGTTACAAGTCAGGTCAGTCTCTGACCCTTTGTAACTATGATTACACAGGCTGTAAACTTTTGG